GCTAGAAAGTTTGGAAAGTTGATTGGTCATTCTGAGAAAGTGAGTGGTCCCTCTGACATCCAAACTAATATAATCCCAGTGGAACAAAGAGGCTGTCTTGCTTGTACCCTTCACTCACATGATAACACTCACATGTTCTCTCGATGGCCTCCAGAAGTGAGCCTCTCACTCTCATGCCTACCTGATGTTATAATAGCCCATGGACTTCTGCACTGTCTCAAATGAGAGCATGCAACCCTGTGACTCCTGCAGCTGCATGGCCCAAGGCCATACAGGCTCCTCACACAAAGTCCAGGAAAACGTTTGAAAAGAACAGCACCCAGAACCAAGCTAAACTTCCTGAATGGGGACTGTGACCACTTAGCAATCCCCTGGAGCCTCCAAAGGACTATAAGATGGAGCAGGAACCTGGACACTGGCATTTGTCTTGGTCTTGATGGTTGGACTTTTTCCATGGCATAAAGAGGAGATGGTCTTTGAGACAGAAGACTGTGATTCTCCCTGGTCAGTTAGCACCTGCATACAATCTCTTTGGTTTTGCACTAGCATGAGTTTAGCTTTTGAGGTGACAGTCTGCCAAGCCACCAATTTTGTTCAGTTATGTACGTCTGGACTGAATTATGTGTATCATTTACTAAGCACTTGTAAATAGCACATATAAAGAGCTTGCCATAAATTTCTCTACTTAACCATCAGTGATCCTGTCTAAGGTTGACATTATTTATGTTTATTTTACAGATAAAGGATTAAGGGTCAGAAAGATAAAGATTAAAATTTCTAGCTGTTTTGACTTCAGTCAGAGTTAAGTGCTAATCTCTCCCACACCAGGAAGTTTGGACTTGCTATAGCCTTACAAGAACATGTTTAAAAAATCGTTTTATTGTTGTGACTTTGTTAGCCTGTAATTGTTAACCATTTATATTGTTTTGACTATATTTTCATAATTGGGAATTCACATGCAATTGAAAGAAATAATACAGAGGGCCTATGTACCCATTACATATTTTTCTCCCATGGTAACATTCTGCAAACCTATGGATTGATATATCTATGATACTAGCAACATACAAAATTTTGCTTTCACCACATGGACCCCTCATGATTCTCTTCTATATTCAAACTCATCTTCCTCTCCCATCTATTATGACAACATTATGTTTCCTATTTATATAATTCAGTCACTTCAAGGTACTTGGGTGAAGACACCAAAGGTATCTTAAGTAAAGTGATTAATACATCAACTTTCACAGAGGACATTTTGATGTATTTTCATCTATTTAGGTTGATTTTTTGACAGTTTTTTTTGTTACTGAGTGGTAGTCCATGCTATGGGTGCATCACAATCTATTAGGCTATTCACATTGAAGAAAATCTGTTTCCAGTTTTAGAATATTATAAATGAAGCTAGATTAATATACAGATTTTTATGTGAACATAAGATTATTTCTCTGGATTACTACTCAAGAGGACAATTGCTGGGTCAAGTAGTAGTTTCCAAGGGGAAAAGTCAACCCTTCCAAATGCTCCTCTTAAGTCATTTTATCATGTACTTGTGTGTGCTCGTTGTCCACCCAATTGAAACACCTTTCCTTAAAAAAAATAAATAAATAAAACCTGGAGGGCCAAAGCACTGAGAAGTCAATGGAAGAAAGCTCTGCTTATTCAAAAACAAATGGTGAGTGAAGTGTTCACAAGCATTCACAAAATTACAAAAAGCCAAACAATAATTAAAGGCTATCACTATATTAAAATGATAATGAAAGACTAAGAAATTGTGATTACTTCTAAACAAAAGCAGGTAGCAGCACAATTTACAATAGCCAAGAGTTGGAAGCAACCCTGGTGCCCATCAGTAAATGAGTGGATCAAAAAACTATGGTGCATTTATACAATGGAATTCTATGCAGCAGAAAGAAAGGAGCTACTACCCTTTGCAACAACATGGATGGAACAGGAAAGCATTATGCTGAGTGAAATAGGCCAGGCATTGAAAGACAAATACCATATGATCTCACCTTTAACAGGAAGCTAAACAACAAAACAAACAAGCAAGCAGAATAAAAACAAAGACACTGAAATAGAGAACAATGGGACAGTGACCAGAGGGGAGAGGGGAGGGAATTTAAGGGGAAAAAAGAGGGATTTTGAAGAACAAGTATGAAAGACACAGGGATGAGGACTGGGGTGGGGGGAGGGGGGAAATGGGAGGGAGGTGGGGAGCACAGGATGGGGGAGGCTGGGATGGGAGAAATAGACAAAAAACTGTACTTGAAAATGACTAAATAAAATTTAAAAAATAAAATCAAAAAAAGGAAAAAGGGACCCACCCCTGTCATCCAGCTGCCAGAGGTCAGCTCTATAGATAGTGGCAGAAACATTCTGGTGCCCATGGTGTATGGACATTCCAAAATGTATGTGGAAATAACAGTGTTGTTTTATAAGAAGCATATACCAACATCACACTACTTGATCTGATATTCCTTTAATCATTACTCACTTACATTTTACAGCATAAATGAAGACTCAAGGCAAAGAAATGCATTAGCTCCTGAGGCTGGAAGTGATGTGCATAGCTATATTATTTTTAATAAAATCCTTAACAATATATAAGTAAAAATGAAAATTATAATTCATACTGGTTCGGATTTACCCATGTGTTCACCAGTGTGTGTTCGTCATTGCTTCTGGATAGCAATGTTGATAGCTGTTGATAGTTGTTGATAGATGTGAGTTTGTTGTCATTTTACTGTTCCTAGTTTTTACCTTTTTCTTTGTCTTAGATAAGTACCTTTAACATTTCATATAAAAAGAGCTTGGTGATGATGAACTCCTTGAACTTGACCTTATCTGAGAAGCACTTTATCTGCCCTTCCATTCTAAATGAAAGCTTTGCTGAATAGAGCAATCTTGGATGTAGGTCCTTGCATTTCATGATTTGGAATGCTTCTTTCCAGCCCCTTCTTGCCTGCAAGGTCTCTTTTGAGAAATCAGCTGACAGTCTTATGTCATTTGTAGTCTTAAGTCCATTGTAGGTAATTGTCTCCTTTCCTCTTGCTGCCATTAAGATTCTCTCCTCTTTAATCTTGGGTAATGTAATCATGATGTGCCTTGGTATATGCTTCCTTGGTTCCAACTTGTTTGGGACTCTCTGAGCTTCCTGGACTTCCTGGAAATCTATTTCCTATGCTAAATTGAGGAAGTTCTCCATTATTTTCACAAATAGTTTTAGATTTTTTACTCTTCTCCTTCTGGCACCCCTATGATTCAGATGTTGGAATGTTTAAAGTTGTCCTGGAGATTCCTAAGCCTCTCCTTTTCTTTCTTTCTTTTTAATTCTTGTTTCTTAATTCTGTTCTGGTTGAATGTTTATATCTTCCTTCTGGTCCAAATTGTTGATTTGAGTCCCAATTTCCTTCCCATCACTGTTAATTCCCTGTACATTTTCTTTTGTTTCACTTTTCATAGCCTTCACTTTTCCCTCTATTTTTGCGGCCATAGTCAACCAGTTCTGTGAGCATCCTAATCACCAGTGTTTTGAGCTGTGCATCTGATAGGTTGGCTATCTCTTCATTGCTTAGTTCTATTTGGGGAGCTTTGATTTGTTCTTTCACGTGGGCCTTATTTTTTGTCTTGGCACACCTGTTACTAGTAAGGGGTGGAGCCTTAAGTATTCACCAGGGTAGGGAAACCCCCATTACTACATTGTCATGTTATATGTGGGTGAAGGTCCAAGAAAGAATAATGCTGTTTGCTTGGTTCTTGACCCACTTTCAGCCACGTTTCCTGCTACCCACAAGCAAACTGAACCCTCCCAGTGCTTATTTTGAGGTGAGTGGATTTGTGCATGTCCTAGGATACTGGGTCTCTCCAGTGAACTCCTGTGAAGCTGGGAGTTTCTCCCACCATGGCAACTCCCACAGGTTTTTATAGTCAAGTTTTGAGGCTTTATTTCCCTTCACTGGAACCCTGAGCTGCATGGTCTGTCTTACTCCCCAGTTGTTCCTCCTGGTTTATCCACACACAAATGTGGGATCACCCAGTCTACCATCTGCCGCCTGGGTATGAATCCTCTCCACCCTGGCTGCCCATTACCACTCCTCCTACCCATCTGAATGAATATTTCTTTTTTAACTCTGTTGTTGGACTTCCATACACTTCCATTTTCTGGCATTTCTGGTAATTATTTTGTTTTTGAAATTTGTTGTCCTTCTTTTGGTTGTGCAAAGAGGCAAAGTGTGCACCTCCTTGCACAACCTATGCCTCCATCTTGGTCGGAAGTCCCCCAAGCTGTTCTTGATGAGGGGCAATTTTGGGTCCCCCCAGAGGACATTGGGAGATGTCTGGAGTCATTGTTCAGTCTCTACTGGAGGGAAAGGGGCGCAACCACCATCTACTGGGTAGAGGCCACAAATGCTGCTAAACACCCTGCAATGTACATAAGGCCCTTTGCCCTCAAACAACCCAGGCTAAAATGTCAGCCATGGTGAGGTGGGAAAACCCTGCTCTAACATAACCCGTTAGGATGTCCTCAAGATTTGTAAGGTTTATTTTTTTAATACTTTATTTATAAATTTTTAGACAGAGGGGAAAGGAGGAAGAGAAAGATCAATGTGTGGTTGCCTCCTGCACACCCCCTAGTGGGGACCTGGCCCACGACCCAGGCATATCCCCTGACCGGGAATTGAACTGGCGACCCTTTGATTTGCAGGCCAGCACCTGATGTACTGAGCCACCAGCCAGGAATCACATTTTTTGCCTGCCTTATATATATTATTATATGTCGACAGTCTCTACAGAATATGTTTGCCTACAGATTTCAGGACGTGAAAACCTTGAAAGAAAGGACTAGTTTTGCAGAACAGAGCAGAAAAGAAGCACATAAACTTCAGACACATGCTAGGAAACCAAGTCTCTTTTATTGGGAATGTCTGGGTGGTGAAAATAGGATAGGTACATAGGAAATGTCATGAAGAAAACAGTTTCCCCAGCCATTCCAAAGAGAAGGCCCTGCATTCAGGACTCTTTCCCTGAATCTGTCAGCACAGGAGTTGGTTTCTTTTGGCACCACTGTATGTTTGAATACCATTCATAGGAGAATATCAGGGCACTCACTAGCGCCAGGATGACAGATACGATGCCTAGTGGCAACACATAAGAAATGTACTTCACTTTTACCATTTCTCTCCCTACCGGGAAATCAGGTGGGAAGTCAAGGGTGGTCTTGCCATAAATGTCTGCAATGAAATTCCAGCTCACAGTAACAGTGATACAAAAGCCACTGACAATGAGAAACAAGGCAGAGATGTAGCAGGCTTGGAGGAAATCTGGGTACAAGGCATCGGTCCAGCTGACCCAAACGGCCAGGGAGCCAAAGTACAGTGTGACCGGTGTCATAAAGTTGGCCAGCAACATGAGCTCTTGCCCATAGTAGATTTCCTGTGGAACATCCCAGCTTTCATTTAACTCGGCACGCATGGGCAGCTTCAGAATGTTGCCAGACGTGTTAACTCTTTGCACGTAAGACGTTTCCCAGAGTCCAATGTACATCATGGTAATGACATCGCTGTCAAACTCCCACACATGCCAGGATTTGCTGATGGATATGCCTATGCTGAAAACCCAGGACACATAACTAAGGACCAGGGCCAGCCTTTTGCTGAAGAAGCGCATTGATCAGGGTCCACTGAAGACAGTCAAGGCATCACCAAGTCAAGCCAGGAACAACCATAAAGGGGGAAAAAAAAACACTCACTGAACTATGAATGGAACGCTAACAGTTTACATCTTGTGCTGCTTATCTCTAAGTTATATTTAGGGGGCTCACAGACAGAGTGGTCTTTGGTTAGTGTTCTAAATGTTTCATATAAGAATAAAAGATGCCAAGAAATTTGTGACCCTGGTGAGGGTGTTGATTCGCCAGGCATTTTGGAAACAGAATTTGACAATGAGTTACAAAAGGTGAAATGTTCACACCTCTCCTTCACCACCTTTAACTCCAAGAATACCGAGGCATGTATAAGAGTGGTGAAAATGTATGTGGTGAAATGTTAGTTTTATCATCATGTATTACCGAGAAAAATAGAAAATAACCTAAATGCTTGTTAATAGAAGAATGGTTACATAAATTATGCTACATTCAGGAGTATAGTGGCCATTACCAAGAATAAACTGTCTGAAGAAATTTCTGCAGTATACTGAAAAAAGCACAAGGTGAACAGATAACTCATATGGTATGATCATTTGTGTCAAAAGAAAAACAGGTATAATTTTCTTTATGGATACAAATAGATGTGTGAATTTTCTTTTTTAATTTAGAAGGGGGCTCACCAAAGAAGTAATTCTAGGCAGATGGATTGAGAAGGGTAGGCTTTCATTCTTATTTATACCTTTTTCTGTAATTTGTATGGCTTTTCATGAAAGAACACACGTACTTTTACTTTTGTAATGAAAAATAAGCATGACCTTGAAGATCTATAATATGTTGCATACAAACAGATCACACCTATTTACTTTTTTACCCATCACTTGCTCAAGACTCCACCTTTGCACATTGGCTTCTTTGGGGACCGACTTCAAGACTCTCATGCATTTTGCATGAGGCAAATGCATTGAACGAAGCAAACTCTAAATTGTGGAGAAACACAACTGATTTGGGTTTCTTTCCCTTTGAGCCCCAAGAAAAAGTTGCAGGGCTAATCAGAAAATGGTGTGCCCTGGGCTTCTCCCTCTGCTGATGAACTCAAAGGAGTGAGGCAGGGTTCACTCAGAGGGGAGACCTGAGGCGCGTGCCCCTGCAGAAACACCCAGCACCCTCCACACTCTACCTCCTTGCCATGAAGTTTGCTGACCCCAGCAGGGTGCCCACTCGTGCACAGTCTGGGGCATGCACCTTATAACTGTACACTTGGGAAGTACCCGAGCTCCCAAGTGTTTCCCTGAAGACTAAACTTGAAAGACTCCATATATCTTAATTTCAACTTTTACCAGCTGTTGACGTGGAAGGAGTGAAGCTTTCAGGAAGATTGGAGCACAGCAGATGTTCGGAGCGGTAGGAAATGTTGAACGGGAAGGGGAAGGTTCAGCCCACGTTAAGCGATCCCCAAACAGTGATGAATCGCCTGCAGTGAATGGAAGAGGGATGGTTACGTAGAGTTGGGGGCTCTGAACAAAGCCTAACAACTCTCTGCCCATCGCTGAAGACTTACCCTTCATGCACCTTGTGTTTCGTACAGGTCACGCCTTGTTTCAAACCCCTTATGAATATTAACACATTCAGTGCTCATGATCACACAATGACAGATACGCAGTTATGATCCCCATTTTATAGGAGCCAGAACTGAGCACAGACAAGTTAAGTAACTTAGTCAAGGTCACACAGATGTAGATGGCAAAGCTGGGATGTGAAGCCATCACTATTGGCACAGAGCTTTCTGGCTCTCCTGACATCGGGTGACAGTTAGTCACATCAAGAGACTATCAACCAAAAGACAAATCTGCCGTGACCAGCATAGCTCAGTGTGTTGGGCATCATACTGCAAAGCAAAAGGTCACGAGTTCAATTCCCAGTCACAGCACACACCTAGCTTGTGGGTTCGGTCCCCAGGTGGGACATACACAAAAGGCAACCGATCAATGTTTCTTTCCCTCTTTCTCCCCCTCCCCCTCTCTCTAAAAGTAAATAGATAAATTCTCTTTAAAAATACAGGAGCGAGACCCTGTGGTCTGGCACCTCTGTGCCTTCCATCTCTAAGGTCCACATTGGGCATCTGCTGTCCCACACGGACACCACCCCCCACCCTGTCACTGTCCCGTGGAGGCACATGGGAGGGTGGAAACGATGTCACCCAGTGCTAAGAGTCATAATTCACACTCAAATGATACTCAGGTGGCTTCAGTTGACAAAGCTACGAGCAAAGAAGCCCGCAAAGCGAGAAGATGCTCATTTCTGACCAACAAAGGTGACCTGAGCTCACCTCTTTGATAGAACCTCCTCCCAAGACACTTAGCAGAAACGTCTCCACAGAGCACAGGAAACGATGAAACCAAAGGAATCCCCCACCAGAAAAATTTGCCACACTCTCCTGAAGCAGGGCAAAAATAAATAAACCACACTGCTTCCCCAAAAAATCAAAAAAGGCAGGAGGAGAATCTCTCAGAGGCTCAAACAGTAGTAACTGCCAAGGTTAAACAGCAGTAGGGAATTCCAAACATTTTTATATTACCATGGCTACCAGGGCTGGTCCTTGATGAGAGGTTTCTTAAAGGGCCAGAGTCGTGGAACCCCTCTTGAAAAGTTAAGTCTCTCTAGAATATCTTTTGTCAGGTCCTAGGCCAGAGTCACTGTAATTCATGAGAGCCTTAAGGAGAACTATAAGAAGGGCCACAGGGATTGGGAGAAAGGTATGTCATGGTGGGAGCCAGGGTCAAGGCCAACAAGGAGCATGCTTTCCTGAAGGGTCCTGGGCAAGAAGCCATGAATCCACACTGATGTTGGCCCGTGTGTGGCTTTGTCCTGTCCCCGTTGCACAGATCAATGTCACTCTCCCCCCACTCGGCTCTACCTTCAGTGTGGCTGTCACCTGACAGGACTTCCACTTCTAAATGTGCACCATTTTAATGGAACCCTTTTGTCTAGCAAAGAACCCTTTGTTCTTTCTCAAGATTGCTGAGGCTATTTGGGGTCTTTTTTGGTTCTACATAAATTTTTGACATATTTGTTTGGGTAGTATGGACATTGTGATCATGTTAATTCTTCCAATCCATGAACATGGTGTGTGTGTGTGTGTGTGTGTGTGTGTGTGTGTGTACACATACTTCCATTTATTTGTGTTTTATTGCTCAATTTCTTTCTTCAGTGTCCTATAGTTTTCCAAGTACAGATCTTTTACCTCCTTGATTAAGTTTACATCTGGTACTTTATTTTTCTTTTTGTTATGGTACTTGGTTTTTTTTCTACTTTCTGTATGATATTTCATTGTTGGTGTAATAAAATGCCCTCAATTTCATGCCCTGGCTAGTGTGGCTCTTTCATCCTGGCTGGATTGAATGTTGGCCTGTGATGGTGCACATGCCTGGGTTGCTGGCCCAGTCCCCGGTAAGGGAACATGAGAGGTAACCACACACTGATGTCTCTCCCCTTTTCTCATCCCCTCGCCCTCTCTCTAAAAATAAATAAATAAATAAACATTTTATTAAAAGGAATGCCCACAATTTCTGAATATTGACTTTGTACCTGCTATTTTGCCAAATTCCCTTATCAGGTTGAGTCATTTTTTGGTGGAGACTATAGGGTTTTCTCTGTACACTATCATATTGTCTTCAATCAGTGACAGTTTCACCCCCTCCTTTCCAATTTGGATGCCTTTTTTTTTCTTGTCTGATCACTGTGGCTAGTCAACAAATTTTTATGTGCATTCCCCTGTACTCTCCACTCAGATCAAGACACAGAACAGTCCTGTGTCTCCCCCAATTCTTTCATGCCTTTCACCAGTCAATAGCCACAAATGCCTAACCTCTCTGCCCTCATCCCTTGCCCTCATGAATTTGGGTTCCCTTTGTTCAGCATCATGTTTTTGAGAACCACCTGTGTTGTTGAGTGTCGTATTACCTTGTTTATGTTTATTGTGTTTCACGGCAACTGTTCATATACCCAATCTGTATAGCCATTCTTCCACCAATGAATGTTTAGGGTGTCTCCAGTTTGCACATATTATGGAAAGAAATTTCCTTCTTCCTTCCTTCCTTCCTTCCTTCCTTCCTTCCTTCCTTCCTTCCTTCCTTCCTTCCTTCCTTCCTTCCTTTATTTATTTAACTTTAGGAACAGAGAAAGAGAAAAACATCCATTTGTTGTTCCACTTACTGACACATCCATTGATGGAATCTTGTATGTGCCCTGACTGGGGACTGAACCTGCAACCTTGGTGTATTGGGATGATCCTCTAACCAAATGAGCTACCTAGCCAGGGCCAGGGAGGAATTTATTGATATTTCAAAAAGAAGGCAATGTTTTCTCTGTAATTTTATGCCAATGCTCCAGCAGCAGGAAGAAATCTATGCTTTGCATGTTTAGGTTTGTAATGAAAGTGAGGCCTTGGTAGGCCTTTGGACATTTCCCAGAGTGCCATGCACGTTACTGTGGCTAGGCTGGTTGTCTCTGTTGGGGGAGCCTGCCCCCAACCCTGAGATGAGCACTCTAGGCAAGGCCAATGGGGTTGATCTTCCATCTGCTATGATCTGCCTCCCAGAGGGAGTACAGGTGTCCTAAGGAGAATATGCAGAGGACATTGTAACGATGTGTGACATGTCCAATCAGACACCTCAGCCATGGGAACAATGACCTTTGGAATCAGAAAATATCTCTCCAGGGACTTCTGGCCAAGATGGAGGCATAAGTGGAAACTCTGTGCCCCCTTTCACAACCACGTTTAAAGACAACAAAGTTTTAGGAGCAAATACACAGCCAAAACACAGAAAATTGAACTGTATGGAAGTCTGACAACAACAAACCATTCAGCCAGACCGGTAAGAGGGGCAGAGTCAGCGGCTGGTAGAGCCAGGTCGGGCAGGAAAGATTGGCTGGGACAACCCTGGAGCGCAGGCAGTGGCTGGTGATTCCCAGGCGTGGGGTGGCAATGGGCAGACCCAGTGAGGGCTCAAGGTGGCTGGCTGACTGCGCTCACACATTTGAGCACAGATAAACCAAGTGAAGGAGCAAACAGTGAGACAGACGGCTCAGGCGAGGGCCCCAGTGAATGGAATTAGAGCCTGAAAGCACCAATTGGAAAAATTTGGGGGGTCGAGGTGCCAGGAGAGGCTCCCAGGCTCACAGAGATTTCGTTGGGGAGACCCACAGGGTCCTGGAGGGTACACAAGCCCACACACCTAGGAACCAGCACCAGAAGGGCCCAATTTGCTTGTGGGAAGCAGCAGAGGAAACAGAAATCTGAGAGAGAGCAAAACAAATGCCATTGCCTCTCTCTGACCCCATCCCCACATACAGCATCACAACCCACAACCCATCACAACTGTGTCACCCTGCCCCGGTGAACACCTAAGGCTCTGCCCCTCATACGTAATGGGTGCACACAGACCAAAACATTACGGCTCAAGAGCAGCTCAAAGCCCCAGAGCCAATAATTCTAAGTGACCAAGAAATAACCAATCTTTCAGAGGCACAGTTCAAAACACTGGTAATCAGGATGCTCACAGAATTGGTTGATTTTAGTCACAATTTAGATAAATGAAGGCTAAACTAACTGAAATGAGGGAAATGCACAGGAAACCAATAGAGATGGAAAGGAAACTGGGACTCAAATCAAGGGAGTGGACCAGAAGGAAGGAAAAAATGACCAAACGGAAAAGAATGAAGAAACAAGAATTCAAAAAAATGAGGAGAGGCTTAGGAACCTTCAGGACATCTTTAAACATTCCAAAATTTGAATTATAGGGGTACCAGAAGGGGAACAGGAACAGCCACAAGTGGAAAACTTATAGGAACAAATAATAAAGGAGAACTCCCCCAATATGGCAAAGGAAACAGACTTTCAGGAAATCCAGGAAGCTCAGAGAGTCCCAAAGAAGTTGGACCCAAGGAGGAACACACCAAGGCACATCATCATTACATTAGCCAAGATTAAAATGAAGGAGAGAATCCTAGAAGCAGCAAGAGATAAGGGGACAGTCACCTACAAAGGAGTGCCCATCAGACTGTCAGCAGATTTCTCAAGAGAGACCTTACAGGCAAGAAGGGGCTGGAAAGAAGTATTTCAAGTCATGAAATGCAAAGACCTACATCCAAGATTGCTCTATCCAGCAAAGCTTTCATTTAGAATGGAAGGACAGATAAAGTGCTTCTCAGATAAGATCAAATTCAAGAAGTTCATTATCACCAAGCCCTTATTATATGAAATGTTAAAGGGACTTACTAAGAAAAAGAAGATAAAAAAGATGAACAGTGAAAGGACAGCAAACTCACAGTTATTAACAACCACACCTAAAACAAAAGCAAACTAAGAGGACAGCTAGATCAGGAGCAGAAACATATAAATGAAGATCTCATGGAGGGTTAGCAACAGGGGAGTGGGAGAAGGAGAAGGGGGCAGAAGGTACAGTGAATAAGTAGCATAGACGGTAGGTAGAAAATAGACAGGGGGAGGGCAAGAATAGCATGGGAAATATAGAATCTAAAGAACTTGTGACATATGGACATAAATGAAAGGGAGCGAATGGTGGGCGAGGGGTGTGCAGGATGGAGGGGAATAAGGGCAACTGTAATGGCATAATCAATAGAATATATTTTTTTAAAAAAAGAAAATATCTCTCCAGCAGATGCTAGTGGTATTCCTTGCTCTGGCTGAGGTGACAATGAGCTGTGTTAAGAAGACCTGAGGATTTGTCCCAGCACCACCTCTGACCAGAGACAAGCCACTTGGAGCCTCTGCATTTCAATCCTGCATTGGGAGATGGAACCACCTGCCCAGTGTCCACTCTGTCCCAAGAACAGCAAGCCTCCTGTTGCCCTAGCCAGCCTTGCACAGGGCCCACGGCTGCCTGGGAACTGCTATGAAGAGAAACATCAAAGTGACCCATGATCTGTGAAACACTCAACCCCCCAGGTGTTCTCACAATCGTCACCTGTAGATGTTTCCAGGGAGTCCAAGCTGGGATTGAGGGGATGGCTGGGGCAGGAGACAGGCATGGCCAGCAGTGACCTGTGCCACTTGCTCTGCTCTGTCTCTCGTGCAAGTGCTGTCACCAGGGACACCTTCCTGCCTGGTGTTGACAACACGTGCCCAGGCCTCTTCGATGTCTGCCTGTAGCTTCAACACTAGGAGGCACCCTCTGGCTCTTGCTTACCTTAGAAGAATTTCTAGGGGGGGATGGTGAAGAATGAAAAAGATCCTGCCAGCCCTCACAGCACCCTCGGTATTGTATTGCTCCAAAGGGAAATGCACAGGATACATTGCCTTGCATTATTCCTGTAAAAAAAATAACCTGAGTCGCCCTTGAAAATCTCTCCAAAAAGTCCTTCAAAAGGTCTTGAAGTTCTTTTCTCTGGTACCCCAAAGCAGACCCTACCAAGGTGGTCCCTGCTTTTAAAAAAAATCCTCACCTGAGGATATGTTTATAGATTTTAGAGAGGCAGAGAGAAACATCCATGTGACATAGAAACGTAGATCAGTTGCCTCCGATACACACCCCTTTCAGGAATTAAGGAAACATAAGTAACATAAGAAACATAAGTAATGTGCCTGAGTGGGGATCAAACCCACAACCTTTTGGCTGACAGGATGATACTCCAACCAACTGAGCCACTCAGCTCGGGCTCCCCTTGCTTTTTGTGTCCAAAGCCTTTAGGATCCATGACCTTGCTCTGTGTTGAGACTGAAGGCAGAGGAGGATCAAAACCATTTTTTGCAGCCCAAACCAGTTCCGTCACTCCCCACAGTGACCACCAGTTGGCAGACGTGCCACCCTCTGCTTGGTGATGATTCAAGCAACCTTCATAATAAGTGTGTCTCCCAAAAGTAACCTGTGTGTCTCCTTTACCCCCAAGTAACCCGTGGTTTAATCCACTTGAATAGCACACATCCTCTTTCAACCCTATTTATAAGGTTAGCTTCAAATAGACTTACTAGGAGAGCAAGATTTCTTTGGAGGAAACAAGATGTTTACTGAAGAAGCATTTTACAAGCCATTCTTGTAGCTGCATGGAGAATGGGGAAGACTGAGGCCAAGGCCAGCCCTGCAGGTCCAAAGGGGAGCCAGAGGTCATGCAGCTCCTTCCCACACATGCAAAGGAAGCCCAGATCTCTACCCAAATACAAAAGCATGGAATTCACTCCCAGTTCTAAGGACATTATGCAAATGACAGCCAGCAGGGAAGGGACATTTGCCAAAGAATGCTGGCACAATTTTACAAGTCTCCATCAAAGAGGAAGAGTTGATTGCCTGCAAATCAGTTCACTGCAGCATTATTGACAATAGCCAAGATCTGCAAACAGGCCAAGTGCCTGTCTGTCAGTAGATGAGTGGACAAAAAAGCTGTGGTACATGTATACGATGGCATACTACTTGGCCATTCAAAAGAAGGAAATCTTCCCTTTTTGTGACAGCGTGCGTGGACCTGGAGATTATTGTGCTGAATGAAATAAGCCAGTAAGAGAAAGACAGGTACCACAGGATTTCACTCATATGTAAAATCCAACGAACAAAATAAACTGGTGGAAAACATACAGAGGCATGGACACATGGAACAGGTTGACAGCTGTTGGCGAAGGGGACCTAAATGAAAGAAGGTGAAGGCATTAGCCAAAAAAACATATACATATAACCCATAGACACAGAGGGAAATGGGGGGGTAGGTGCAGATGGACAAAAAGGGAAATAGATGGGGTTGGAAAGACTTTGCTTGGGGCAATGGGAGCACAGTGGAGTGTGCCAATGATGGTTCATTGACTTGTGCACTCAAAACCTGTATGATTTTGCGAACCAATGTCACCCCAATAAACTCAATTTAAAAAAAGAATTTAAACCCCAAAGTGGCATAGGGTCTGTTGACCATTCTAGCAGAACACCCATCCCACCCGGAACCATAGGCAGTGTTTTGAGAATATATATTTATATAGCTGATAGACTAGCCCTGGCTGGTGTGGCTCAGTGGATTGAACACCAGCCTGCAAACTGAAAGGTTGCATGTTCAATTTCCAACACAGGGCATGCCTGTGTTGTGGGCAAGGTCCCCACTTGGGGACATGTGAGAAGCAACTGACTGATGCTTCTCTCTCTTTTCCCCTCCATTCTCTTCTCTCGAAAAACAAATAAATGAATAAATAAAAGAGCTGATAGGCTTATGTCCTGGGGAAAATAGTTCTCAAACACTGTGCTCTCACAGACTTGAATGTGTTTTGAAATGAAGGACATTTCATATCAGCCCTCGGTTTCTTTCCTGGGAACTCCCCGTGACCCTCTGTGTCACGGGGAGGTGCGACAGACACCAGGGGTGTCTGTGGTGCGACAGACACCAGGGGAGAGCGTCTAATTTTTAACCTATGAACGACTTCTCCCCCAAGTCATCCATTTAGTTTGGATGGAGTCCTTTTCCACTTTGGAAGAGCTGTGAGCCGTCAAGTAGAGGTTTGTGACATGGATATGCTATGCCCCCAAAGTTCTTGACCAAACGTTTTGGAACACACGTCTCACATGAAAGATGTCCAATTAATATTTGCTGAAAGAAGCCATCGGCGAGTGAGGCAGCTGGTTGGTGTCTCTCCTGAGTTGGCCTTAAGCATAATTTTGGAACGTAATCAACTGAGGGCATTAAAGTTAGTTAGGCCACCCATGAAGTTTGAGAGAAAAAGGCATCTGTTATCCCACAAGGGCACACCTATTGGGTGGGGTTCTGGGAGAAGTTACCAAGATCGTATAATCAAGACCTGTGCTTCTAATGCAAATTTTGTAACACTTATCTGAACTGTTGTATTACCAGTCACTAAAAGGGCAGAAATACCACCAGCACCCAGAAATAACTATAGATGCTGAATGGAGTGAGCAAACTATGGGTTGAAGGTATAAGAATGACTTACCACACACCCCAGCCATCCTGCTCCACTGTATCCAGAGCAATGAAAATTTGCATTCATGTTAAGTCCAAGTGCACATACTAACAATCTGCACTCATGCGTAAGTCCAAGCACACCTGTGTACAATAACTTTTTTCATAACATCCCCATCCCGGGAACAACCCCATGGAAAGGAAACTGCTTTACACATTCCTCAAAGCACATTTAAAAACTTGAATAAAAGGCAAGACAGACCACATTCTTGAAGAAGAGGAGTCCATATTATCAGTATGTCAAGTTTGCCTACGTTAACATAAACTTAGCACCACCCTCAGAAAAACATCAAGACCTTTTTTTTTTTCTCAGTCAGGAATAATACAAATGATTTTGTTTTCTTTATTTCTCCCCATAGAAAAATATCAAATATACCCAACGTAAGGACCTGCTGGTGGGAGCTGCAGTGATGGGCTTCTGTCACTTTTTCTAGTGTCTGTGACCACTGGTCCTCCTCACTCCAAGACTCCTTGCCTTTGTCCTGGTGAAATTAAAGGAAATGATGCCATTAACCTTAACCTTTTTTAATATGAGCTGAATTTTAGAATAAGCAAGGAGCCATACTTGGTGAGGGAAAGTTTTTCGTTACAGAAGCCTCCAAGCTAATAAATCTGGCAAGAATGTTCCTGTTAGATCGTCACCAACCACCTGTAACCCTTGGTGCAATACGGATTCAAACCAGGGATGTCATGCAGTAGGTGGTCGATGGGGTGGAAGTTGGATCAAAGTTACAAGAGGGATTGGCCTGTCCCCTCCTGGACCCACCTGGCTGTCTCAGCATTGCTAAAAAGGACAATCACCATATGCCATCAGTATAACGCACTTCAATACAAGGCACCAAGTTGGAAATCCTCTTCCTCAAAGCGCTGGCCCAGAATCTAATCAAATCTCAAGAGGTAATAAGTTTAAAGACAGGACAATTGAATCACTGTCCTCTGTAAATCAGTCAGGCTATTTTTTTCTTTTTCTATTTTTTTAAATTTTATTTAGTTATTTTTCAAGTACAGTTTTTTGTCTATTTCTCCCAACCCAGCCTCCGCCGCCCCGTCTCCCCAGCTCCCTCCCATTTCCACCCCCCTTAGTTCTTGTTCCTGTGTCCTTCATACTTGTTCCTCCAAATCCCTCCCTTTTTTTTCCTTAAATTCCCTTCCCTCTCCCCTCTGGTCACTGTCCCCTTGTTCTCCATTTCAGTGTCATTGTTTTTTTTTTTTTTTCTGCTTGCTTGTTTGTTTTGTTGTTTAGCTTCCTGTTAAAGGTGAGATCATATGGTATTTGTCTTTCAACACCTGGTCTATTTCACTCAGCATAATGCTTTCCAGTTCCATCCATGTTGTTGCAAAGGGTAGTAGTGCCTTCTTTCTCTCTGCTGCATAGAATTCCATTGTGTATATGTACCACAATTTTTTGATCCATTCGTTTACTGAGGGGCACCTAGGTTGCTTCCGACTCTTGGCTATTGTAAATTGTGCTGGTATGAACATTGTGGTGCATAGGTTCTTTGAAATTGATGTTTTAGGATTCTTGGGATATAATCCTAGCAGCGGAACTGCTGGGTCAAAAGCCAGGTTGAATTTAGTTTTCTGAGAAAATTCCATACTGTTTTCCATAATGGTTGTACCAGTCTGCAATCCCACCAACAGTGAACTAGGGTCCCCTTTTCCCCACAACCTCCACAACATTTGTTGTTTGTTGCTTTGTTTATGATAGCCATCCTGACTGGTGTAAAGTGGTATCTCATTGTGGTTTTAATTTGCATCTCTCTGATAGCTAACGATATTGAGCATCTCTTCATGTGTCTCTGGATCTTCTGTATGTCCTCCTTGGAGAAGTATCTGTTCAAATCCTTTTCCCATTTTTTAATTGGGTTAGATGTCTTCTTAGAGTGGAGTGGTGTAAGTTGTTTGTATATTTTGGAGATTAAACCTTTGTCTGAGGTATCATTGGCAAATATGTTTTCCCATACAGTTGGTTGTCTTTTTAATTTAATACTGTTTTCTTTAGCCTTGCAGAAGCTTTTTATTTTGATGAGATCTCATTTGTTTATTCTTTCCTTTATATTCCTTGCTCTAGGGGACATGTCGGTAAAAATGTTGCTGAGTAGAATATCTGAGATTTTCTTGCCAATGTTCTCCTCTAGGCCTTTAATGGTGTCACGGCTTATATTTAAGTCTCTTATCCACCTTGAATTTATTTTGGTGTATGGTGTAAGTAGGTGCTCAAGTTTCTTTTTTTTTTTTTTTTTTTTTTTTTTTTTTTTTTTTTTTTTGCTCATAGCTGTCCAGTTCTCCCAACACCATTTGTTGAAGAGGCTATCTTTACTCCATTTTCTGTTGATGCACCCTTTGTCGAATATTAATTGACTGTAGAGAGTTGGGTTGATTTCTGGGCTCTCTGTTCTGTTCCATTGGTCTATGTGCCTGTTTTTATGCCAGTACCAGGCTGTTTTGATTACACTGGCCTTGTAATACAGTTTGATATCATGTATTGTGATCCCTCCTACTTTGTTCTTCTTTCTCAAAAGTGCAGCTGCTATTCAGGGTCGTTTATGGTTCCATATACATTTTTGAACTGTTTGTTCTATGTCAGTGAAATATGCCATTGGTACTTTAATAGGTATTACATTGAATGTGTATATTGCTTTGGGTAGTATGGACATTTTGATGATGTTAATTCTTCCAGTCCATGAACAAGGTATATTTTTCCATTTGTTTGTGTCTCCCTTGATTTCTTTCT